TCTTGCGCCATATATGTGTGTATGTGTGCGTATATGTATGTGAGTAGCATGTCAGCGATGTAGAGTGTATGGCGATACGTATTCGCACGACAACTGTCATGTAGTTTTCGGTGTTTTGGTAAAAATAGTGTTGAGCTTAGGGTTTGGGTCGCGAGGGGTATACAGTCGGGGACGGCTCAAAGAACGTCAGTTCTTCGAGTCAAGCCTAGCGCGTTGGGAGTAGTGCCCGGGACCATCGACCTGCAATCTTTGAGTGTGGAGTGGGTTTGGCTTGACTATGTTTGTGACGGTGACGGTTTTGCCAATAGGGTAAACGACCGACGGGAATTCTAATGGGGAATCTCCTGTTTATTTCAGTTGTGACATTTTGAGTGTGTACTCTGTCGCGCCTTATATGTGTGTATGTGAGTAGCATGTCAGAGATGTAGAGTGTATGGCGATAAGTATTCGCACGACATACATCATTATTTTGTTTGGATCACAAATGTGTAAAAAATGAAAATAAACATAAGTCTACATATGTACTAATTTTTATTCATGTGTAAACAATCTCTTTATTTTGATTTTTAGGCCTAACTTGCTATTAATGATGCAAGATTATTCTATTAATTCTAAATTGTTAATCTATCCTAAAATGTTTTTAAACTTCAAAATTTCAAACTTAACTCCATGACATTTTTTGATAAATGAGATAATTGAATCATAATTAAATAAATGATTTAATATAATAAATTTTTAACATTAAGAAATTTATGTAAACAAAAATTACAATGAAATATCAAAAAAGTGAAATCTATAACCTAAAAATCAAATTAAATTTATAGAAACAAACTATGATTTGAAAGTGAAATTTTGGCAACTACTATGCTACTTGTATTTATATTATGATCGTAAAACTTTGAGTAAGTAATATATAAAGTTCCATGAAGTTTTGTTTAAAATCTGAGGGTAGTTGTTTTTTTACAGCAAAAAAAATATTTGCTATTCAATCCTTTTAATTGATAATCACGATTAATCTCAAAATATGCAAATATTGGCAATGCATGTCTCACTTACCTTATAAACTAGTCTTCTGGCCTTTGATTTTTTACATCTTACGTCAATATAAACCATCATATATAGTGTTTACTTGGACTTAGAAGATGACTTTCTATTTCCAACTTCAAAGACTTCCAAAGTGAGTTCGTTTTGTTTCCAACGTTGCATGTTAGCTCTATAATTTCCTTGTTGTTCTCACTTTTTTTTATGTCTCTGTTTGGTTGTGACCTGTAACAGACTTGAAGACACTACATATCTTACTCATCCGGCTCCTTTGATATCCTATAACTTCATTTATAAGATGAAAATTGTAAATATAAATGCACAAATTTAAATTTTATATCATTTTATATCAATAATGAATGCTAGTCTTATCTAAAATAACCTTATGTATACAACTCCTTATGATCACGATAACAATATAAATCGAAAATCCCCAATCTAAACCCCGAAAATCACAATCAATGAAAGTCATAAATTTCTTCTCTTCCTTTTTTAATTTTTGAAATGTAAGATAAAAATTTTTAATTTTTATATTTAAATTTTTTGTTATATAAAGGAAAATTTTTTTTTCTAAATTAAAAGATTTTCTAAATCATATTGAAATAAATTTGATAAAACTTATAAACTCTCCACATATTTACATAAAACTTTATGCTTGTAGCTTGATTTTCTTCATATGAATTAAATCAAGTTTCCATTAATACTATACAAAATTTAAATATTATGTTTCCTCAATATTTTTTGTTTCATTTGAGGTATCAATAAATAAATCTAGCCAACACAGAATTTTGAAGATATATATGTCTTATGACCAGTAAATTGATTTTGCAGTACAATAAATACATTCAAAAAGTTACTTAAAATTGATTAAGTAATTGAAAAAATATTGGAATATTGAAAAAATAATATTTATCCAAATTAAAAAAGTGATAACAAGAATTAAGAAAAAATGTAAATTTTAAAAAATTTTAAACATGCAATGTTGATTCATTTATGCATATGTTCAAAGATAATATTTGTGTATCTAAAATTTATGTGCTATATGTTATATATCTAATATTTGTGCATTGCATAAAATAAATCAAAATTTCAATAAGTCAAAAAAATTGATTCATAAAGTTTAGCTATCAAGTCTTATTTGAGATTATTTAATAAATCCTTTATCAAATAAGCTCATTATGTAATTGTCTTTGAATTTAGTTGATGTTTACTTCACAAGAATATGATGATTTAGTTATATTAAGAAAATTTAAAATTACTGTCACTTTTAATGTTCAACTGGATTCAGATTCATTAGATCTACAGAAAGTCATGCAAATTTCATGAAATATGTAATTAAAAAAAAATTTTAGAATTTAATTTTTTTTTTCAAAAATTAAGATTTAATTTTTTTCCCGAATATTTATTACATTTTATAATCAAATATAAACACTTTGATTGTGTCCTACTATGACAAAAGAGTCTATCTTGCTACAAGGATCGACTTTCTCAATCATTTTGAACCCTAAACCCTAACCCTATACTTTGTCTCCTTCACATTTGCAATAGTATTTACAATTTCCATATGGATTATAAAATTATATGAATTGATACTAAATTTAATATTAACATAACAAACACCATCGATTTGTACTAGAGCACACTCATGATATTTTGTGTCACTCATATCCAAACGAAATTAGAAAGAATGAGATGAATATTATTCTCTTAAGAATAATGAATCTAAACAAAATTTTAGAAAAAAAAATTTTGTAAATAATTTTCTATCAAAATATTGAGTAGCTAAGTGATTATAAGTTAAATCTATGATAAAAACTGCACATGAGGTATAGGCCGGATTCAATGAGACGCGAAGTACAATTGGGACGGTGGAGTAAAATAGCAAGAAACTGAAAACTAGATCTATGATGATGATTTGATGAGTGATGATAAATAAATAAAACAAGGAAAAAAGACAAAAAGGAGGAGATGAAATCAACAAATGTCGAAATTGACACTCTGCAGATTTAGTCCAAAAAATTTGGATTGAGTGCGTTGATAAGTTTAGCTCGCAGTTCGAATGATGTTGAGAAATCCTAAAACTACCATAGATTGTTCATAATGGTAAGAAATGTTGGAAAAGTGGGCCATCATTACAGAACTGCAGGCTAGAACAACCCCGACCGTATGACTCTGGGCCGACGGCATATGGTGAACGTCGTGACGGTCTCCCTTTTGTCACCGTCACGTTAAGAAGTCACCCGTCGAGCACACACCCTCTGGTATTAAAATCGACACATGGACATCCGAGACACGTGTCTCGCGATGTAAAGCGACGCGAGCTCGGCCCGGCTTGAGGCAAGACAAGCCGAAGCCTCGAAGGCCGAGCGAGCGACGCAAGCCAAGGCGGCAGCAGCACGCAGGCAGCTCTGCGTGCTAAAAATCTTAAACTCTTAGGCAACTCAAATCGTGGATGAAGGATTGGAACCCGTGCAGTGGTCATTGATCTTTATTAGTTGGTATCACATATTTTAAACAGAAGAATGATATTTGATCTGTATTTTATCCTCTTCTGCTCGAACCTTCTTGCACACTTGCTGTAATGCGTCTCTAGTTGATTCCTATGGGACTCATGCGAGCTCAGAATAGGAATGAATGGGCCAACGGATAGCAATCAGACGCCCGCCAGCCTGCCCTGAATGCGATTCCGCAGGGTTCTATGAAAGACAACCAGTTCGTCCCCTGCTCGTTGCCTTCCCCTTCACCAACAACCTACCGCCTGAACTACAGCATCACTCTTGAAGCTCAGTGCAAATACTACGAAGACAGCTCTTGCCGTGATCCACTTGGCATCTAGAAATCGAGACTGGCAGCATAAGCTATTGGTGCTAACTTGCACTTAGGAATAGGAAGTGTATCATGAGCGATATCTTTCACTCATACCGAATTACGAGATCGAGCGATCAAGATTAAGCAGACCAGGCGATGCAACACTTTGACAAGCCGGTCGGTTGGACTGAAAGCTGGATATAAATGTCAAGGTGATATTTTGGGCAGCTCGGTCGTACCAATGACTGACTGACCGACTGCTGCTGCTGCTCAAAGGCAGGAGAACGTCGAAGCCGAGTGGCTGGCTTCCAACTGTACATAAAGTCTTTGCAATTGTGAAAAGCTGAGTGTGCGGGTGAGTACTGTAAGGTTGGAGTTAGTGGGCAGGAGCCAAGTCAGTCAAATTGTATCTGCGAAATGACTTTCATACCCTCGCATGTTAGTTTATGAGTGCTGCTGTGCTTTGGATTTTTCCTTCTCACGACTCACGCTTCTGTCTAATCTCTTATAATGTTCCCGTCGATCGTCAGCTCGTTCTTGAAACTTAAACAAAGTACGTGGTTGCTGGACTCTAAGAAGACGCCCATGTGAATCATGGGGACGCTTCGTGAAAGGTATAAAAAAGGTTGTGGAAGATATTCTCCACGAACTTTTCCAACCCTATCAGAAAATATAATCATTGAGACCGAAAGCAAATCTAAATGAAGAACAATCTATGGGCCCTTAGCCTCGCGAAACCAAAGAATCTCAATTCAACCAAGAAGCCGCCTTCACGAGGTTCGGTCCATACAAATCGTTCACTGCAATTGGCATCCGTGTCCTGTAATCGGATCCATTGAAAATCAGCGGGGTGTACTGGAACAGAAGCGATGGACGTGATTACATATTCTATTCAAGATTACGCAGCTTGAATGCAGAAATCGACAAATCGCCACCTCCGAGCTAGCCTGATCCGCCATTGCCAATACGAGACACAAAATGCATCACAAGAAATGCTAGACGAAACGGCCAGCCGGTCTCGTCTTGGGCGGGAAGCGCGAGACGCGAAACCCCCGGGTGACGGTGACGGTGAATAACGAACGGTGTACGTACACCATCAACCCGGAGACCATACAGTTCTAGCCAAAAGCATTACAAAACCCGCCACACTATGTATGCAAGAGAACATCATAGAATACGTCGTGTAGGAATTGTGACGAACTTTCCTTCGCGTTTTTGAGCAACTTTAAGACTGTAACATTAAACCGAGATGATGGTGCTGCAACTCAAGATTGGTCGAGCTAAAAAACACAAGGAAATGGAGTGGCAGAACGAAAGCATGTACTGTCTACTATTTGAGTCCTCCAAGAAGCGTTACACCGACGTGCAAGGAATGCAACAAAAGCCTGCTCGAAAGACCAAAGTATCTCCTAACGCGCGAGACCGGTATTGTCATTTTCTGGCGCATCGAGAGTTCGGTGAGTGACCCTTGACAACTAAATGCTCATACTGCTGACTCGTTAAGCTGAAATTTGAGACTATGGATATTGTTATTTACCAGTCGCAATCTTTTCACTAGTCTGTACTCTAGTTGTCACGGGGGAAGGCAGTAGATAGAAACAAACTTAACTTAGAACAGACTACCACATCAGATCGCGAGAGCTTTTCATACCAATTACTTGATAATTTAATCATGATTTTCCGGATAAACTAGAAAACATGGAGCCAAGAAATTTTGTGCACCATATCAGAGACGAGAATTTCAAATTTGACAGCTTTTGGGCCCAGACTCGAAACGTAACTAGATAGCACAGACTTTCCATAGCCACGCTTCTTAAATGATACAAGACATTCTACTCAAGAGGCGGCGAATGCACGAACCCGCAATATTGGTAAATTTGTATAGAAGACAGCAAATAATCTTGCGCTACAACAGATCTTGTGATAGACATTTTGCCGGATCTTTCAGTTGATGAAGATGCCCCAGTTCCCAAATGCGGCAGTCAAAATGAGGGTTGATATTCACTCCAACAAGATATAGACAATGCTGCAAATTTTGATGCTGGGACGATTTTGAACCAGATCAAACAATTTGCACTGTCTTTCTATTTCACAGGAAGCATAGGCCATAGTTTTCAGTCATTAGAGATGTCTGATGATGGGCAGGTCGACAAAATGGAGATCGATACAAACTCAGGACAGAAGAAGTTGAGTACTACGAAACCAGTGTGGATATGTGCATGTCAGAGATGTACTATCAAAAGACGAATTGCACAACATGGAAAAAAAAATTCATGTCGTCTTAAAGACGCAAAGTAGCAGTCGAAGGTCGAGATTTCTGTGACATGTCTGCACATTAGTCAAAGCCTCTGGAAGATTACTGGGTTGTGAACATAGTGTTCCCTTCCAAGTGCAATCTGTTGCTGAAGGGAAATATTTAGAAGAGAGCAGCTTCCATATCCGAGCAACATGTGAAATCGGGCATGATGCTCGATGAACTTCTAGACTTATTTCCAGGTAAGCCTGATGGAATGTTTCACTGGCACTAGGACTTTGTGTACTGGCCCGTTACGGACTACACACGAACAGTTTCAATTTTGGATTGCAATTGATAATGCCGGGGTTAAAATATAGATGCATACAGTTTGCTCCATGAACACATATGGAGAAGAATTTCAGGCATCATGGACCTTTGCAAGGACATCGTGACAAGTCGCATACTTTGACAGCTCTATCAGCTAAGTATGATATGTCAAAACTTGCTGAAGTTGGCAAAGCGATGTGACTGTTCATCACGAGAGAACCTTACATGGGTCTGATTTCAATTCAAGCACTGATAGCTGGAGACGCGCATGGGTGGTGGCATTTTGATATAAGAACCTTTGATTATGAATGTAGTATAGGATTCACCCACTCCACTGAATGCAGCAGGTCAGAAGAATATCCAGAACAGGTCATGTTCTTCACCGTTACTATATAGAAAACTTTGGAGTCTCCTCAAATCCTTATTGATCTAACGCTTTCCCTTGTTCACAGCATCATCCGACTGAGGTGTGAGAAGACATAGTGCTTCCATATTTTTGAAGTAGTTTCATTTATCGTATGTATTTAGTGACTAGAATAGTCGTGTCCGGAAGAACTTTTTCATCCAAAGATATTCACAATTTTTGAAGTATCTTGTACCAAAAGCCACCAATTCGAGGGGCTTTAGGTACTTCAATGACTGTTTTTATCGTGGGCTACCATTGGAGCCTTTTTTGAGGTAAGTATAATGAGATTACAAAACTCTAGTACCCTAAGATTGAGCTGGAAACTACTAGGTTGTTAAGAATCACTAAAGCAAGAGCAGGAAAAAGTATCGAAGAGAAAAGAAGTCATACATTTGGAGCCAAACCTCAGCTTGTTATGGACCTGCCTTGAACTTGTTTGAAATTTGCATATTTCATTGCCTTTCACCGCTATTCTTATACAGTTTAGTGGAGGAACCTGATGATTCGTCATCTTTCTGCCCGTGTGGGGCATGTCATGAAAGTCGCAGAAGGTTTCGTGCAATGGCGATGTGTTGCATTAATGCCTGATTACCAAGTTCCTACGATTTTAGGATATGACTTACTGATTAAAAATCTTTGTATCTTTTCAAACGATGCGACGAGCGTCTCACGCTGTCTCTCGCTCGAAGGTTTTGGGGTTTAGGGTTAACAACTCGCCCTAAGGTCTTGACTGGTTTGTGCCCAGTCGCAGTTTCGGCTCATTGCCCCGAAAAAGGTCTTGATTGTTTTTGCCTTGGGCCGCAAGTGGGCCTCTATGTGACTGCGACTCTTAGTGTCTCACGCTGTCTCTCGTCCGAAACACTCCCTCAAAGGTCTTGACTGTTTTGCGCCCCGTCGCAGTTTCGGCTCATTGCCCCGAAAAGGTCTTGACTGTTTTGCGCCCTGTCGCAGTTTTGGTTCAGTGCCCCGAAAAGGTCTTGACTATTTTTTCCTTGGGCCGCAAGTGGGCCTCTATGCAATTGAGACTCTTAGTGTCTCACGCTGTCTTTCGCCCGAAACACTCCCCTAAAGGTCTTGACTGTTTTGCGCCTCGTCGCAATTTTGGCTCATTGCCCCGAAAAGGTCTTGACTGATTTGCACCCACTCGCAGTTTCGGTTCATTGCCCCGAAAAGGTCTTGACTGGGTTTAGTTTAGGTTTAGGTTTAGGGTTCAGTTTAGTTTAGTTCTGCCTCCCAACTCGGCCCGTTGCCCCGAAAAGGTCTTGACTGATCTGCGCCCGAACACCGTTTTGGGCGCAAGTTCTGTCTGGCTAACGGGCTTTCCTAACCCTAAACTTCCTTTCTGGTCGGACGGGTTTGGCGGAACCTTTGGCCGCACCTTACCCTCTTCATGTACACCGGAAACTCCTTCCTTGACGTGATGCGGTCATACCAGGGCTACTACACCAGATCCCATCAGAACTCTGCAGTTAAGCGCCCTTGGGCCGGAATAGTACTGGGATGGGTGACCTCCCGGGAAGTCCCGGTGCCGCATCCAACCTTTTTGAAAATAATAATAATCCCTAAGTCTTTAAATTATCCTTTGGTAAAAAATCGTAAATTCCCCATGTAGCCGAATCAAAAATAAAACTAACAACTTCTCCGAATTTTCTTTACTTCCGATAAGGTTTCACATAATCTCTCCGCAAGAATCCTTCCCGAATAGAAATTAAGTCAAAATGACATTTCTTTTTTCTCTTTTTTTTTTTTGTTTCCTCTATTCAAAGCATAATTACACGGTCATTTCACAACTTTTTTTATTTGTATTTTTTTTCCTTACTTTTTTATTTCGAAATCATTCATCGTCACAATTTCAAAATCCAAGTGTCAAATCTTCCCAATTGTGGGTAATTAGATCCTACCACTCCCAACACATCTATTAGATTTATTTTAGACCAATTCCAAATTGAATTATTTACAGATTCTCAAATCTAATCTAATATTCTCTAATTATAATTTTTTCCAATATCAACCCTGGAGAATTATATTTTCCCTCTATCATATAAGTGTTCTATATGCTTTTGGATCTATTATTTTGACCTAAATTCCGTTTTTCAATCTAACAAGGTTTCAACCTATAAGATTAGATTCCAATCCAGATTATTGTTTTCCCCCATACCCCCTCCATCATATAACACATGTTCCAACACTAGATGCATCGAAAACAAGCCCCGCATAACAAATTTGATTCTATTCTAAACATCTAATCCTCCCAGTATTAAACTAACCGTTGGATCATCTTGCAATTTATTCCTGGTGTTAAAAACTATTATTTAGAAGGATTCAACGGTTTGGATCATACTTTTCATGAAAAGTTAATTTTCTATTAATTGCACAAATTTCCAGCCGCCTTTTATGTTTTAGATAGAAGTCATCAATTTAAATCGGATTTCAAGTTTCTAAATTACTTTAATATACATGTGACTTCCATCCAAATGTTAAAAACTATTTTTTAAATCGATCATATCCACAATATATATCTTAGGGTGCATCAAGGTTTATATGGATTGAAAATATTATCTATTTGTTTGCAATCTGTGGTTTCTAAATTTTTTTCAACCCTGAATATTTTATTATAATTTATACACTTTTCAAATCGTTCAATTTCAATTTATATATTTTTTTCTCTAAAAAACTTCATTATTCTATTTTAAATATGAATTATATACCTCAAGGTATCATTTTATGTTAAATAGTATTTCAATATTTTCTTCCTTTCTTCTGACGTCTGTCTAAATCTTAAAAATCACTTTTGACATAGTTCATATATACAATTTTTATCTTTGAGTGCATCCAGGTTTATTTAGGTTGAAAATATTGGCTACTCATATTCAATTTGTGGTTTCTAAATTTATTTCATACCCTTGTCTTTTATTGTAATTTAAAGAATTTTTAGTTTATTCAATTTTCATTTCAATATATTTTTCCAAAAAAACGTCATTATTCTACTTTAAATTTGAATTATATATTTCTAGGTTTCATTTTTTGCCAATTAGTACTTGAATATTTTCTTTCTTTAATATGTGATCAAGGAAAATTCTTGGGATTGTTATTTCTATTCTCTAAATGACATTTTAGGGTTTTTTTAAAAAAAAATCATTTTTCATTTTTATTTTTTCAAATATAATTCCAAATTGGAATTTTTTTTCTAAATTATCAACATATATATTATCAATAATTATATTCTTGTTCAAATATGAAAATTTTATGAAAATTGAATCAAAATATAAAAAAATAAGATTAAAATAATCTATCTATTTTTAAAAATAATTTAAAAAAATTTACAACATTAATTACATGTCACCAATGCTTTCAGACATGTTTCAATATATAGAATATTTTTTAATTCATATTTAATTTGATTTTATGTGCATTTCTTATTACTTTATTTGCACATCTTTGATACTTAGTTATCTTTGTTATATATTCTTCCACTAGTTTAGATTTTATAAACTTTACAAAGTTCAAAAACCAAATCGGACCGTTAGATCTTTCTAATATTTATTCCACACGTTGAATTCATATTATAACTAATCTTGAACGGTTCAGATCTTAGATCTGAATAATATTTACAGTTACAATAATTGTTCCAATCTTTCATCACTTTTAATTCTTCCAAATCTTTGATATATGTCAATAATACAAGAAATGGTTATGTAAAACTTTAACTCATGTTTATCAAATTTATTGTTATTTTTAATTGAATTTTCAGATTCTCTATCATTGCAAAATAAAATTTCAAACTATGAAAAGATATATAGATCTTAAAATATTATTATTTTAAGCATAAGTAAGGTGAAATATATAAAGATTATTTTTCTCATTTATTATTGTTAAATGATGATTTTTAGAATTTAAAATTACAATTTATTCTATTTTTTCTCAATTTTATATATTGTGTTCTATGAATTAAATAGATTTTAGATTCAAGATTTATTTGAAATTTTATAATAAATCTTGTTATTCATATTTCAATTTTAGAAATTATATTCTGATGTTTTTCAAACCTTTTCATAATTATTATTGATTTTATTTCAATTTTTAAGTTTATTCATTTTTAATTTTTTGTATATATTCTCTAAATTAGTAAAATTGATTCTAGAATTTATAATATTATATTCTTCAATTTTGGTTGCATTCAAATTATCAAATTCGAACAATCTGTGCAAAATATATAGAATTGAACCATAAGTCACTAAGGAAGTGATAATCGTGCATGGATGAATGATTTTTTTCATTCAAGAAATGTAGTAAAGTGAATATAACAACTTCGGAAGAATCTTCTCATGTGGTCATTGGTTTTTGAATCCGGGACGAAGAAGTTATGGGACTTCATTTGAACTGTCCACATATACTCTAGACCAGGGCTCCAACCATTTTCCAACCCAAATACGATCTGCGGATCTCAATAGACGAAGTACATACAAAGAGAGCTCCTCTTCAAGATCTAACGTTCGGACGAAGAATCACTCGAGTTGGAGATTGGAGTAGGAAGTTATGGCCATCTGAGTGCACTTGCCCTAAGTTGGACGCTAGCAGACCTTCTTCGTTACATAGGCGAGATGTTCGGAGACGAGTCTGGAAGGCAAAAACAAATATATCCGAGTAAGCGCATCGTCAGGACAGAACGAACGAACCAAAAACCAGCCCATTTCCGGCCTGGATGAAAAAGTTATGGCCTTCGGGGTGATCTGCACCCGTGTTTGGCGCCAGGATGACGTGCGTTGTTCCCCAGTGTCGGAACATTGTTCCCCGGTGTCGGGACAGCGTGTTCTCATTTCAGATCCGTAGTCCACGAAATTTGGTAGGCAAGGAGAAGCCGGCAGATCTAAACGACGGGTGAAAGAATCAATCCATTCGGATCTGAGGTGGCAAAGTTATGCCCAATCTCATCCTCGATGTCCGAGACATCCGGAACTCAGGTGTCCCGGTTGATTCACCCACGAGACAGCATCGGAACACTGTGTTGGCGTTTCGGGTCCGTACTTCACGAAATTCAACAGGTGATGAGAGCATGGTGGATCCAAGAGACCGTAAAAAGAATCAGTCCATTTACTCCTGCGGTTAGAAAGTTATGTCGAACGTAACTCTCAATGTTCGAGACATTCGGAGTTCAGGCGCCT